GGGTGCATATTGAGGTTCTTAGAACTGTTCCAATATATATAGGGTAAGGTTCAAGTGAAAAGAACCATTTAGGTGAGAAATGAGAATGAATCTCAACAATTGGATTCGACTAAGTTGCAGTAAAAGACACTTCATGATGCATCTACTTTCATTGGACCCTGACCAAGTTTTTTACTTTTTTTGAAAATCTTAGATAAATAATCTCACATTTATAAAGATATAATAAAAATGTTAAAGGTGAAATTATTTATATGATTTTCAAAGAAAGAGTAAAAAACTTGGTCAGGGTCCATTGAAAGAAGATGGGGTGCAAAGGTGGAATTATTCTGGGATTACGTAAAGATGGATTATTATGAGTAGATTCATGAAAAGTGAGATTATTCTTGTCAATTTTTCCTTAATTTAATGGGTAAACGATTCGAAATGCCTTCCGATTGAATGTACCATACCCATGTCTTATACATATCATGCCTTGTCTTACTATTTAAAAATGTGAATGTAATATATGTACGGAGTAATTTTTTTTAGACCCACTTTTGTAAGTATGGAAACTCTACATACTTATGGAACCACTAATTTCTTGAAATAATTACATAAATATGACTAAAATAAAGATGATTTACAAAAATATGACTAATTACTAGAGTAGTAATGAAATCATAGTAATTCATATTCAAGTTTTGAACTTAAGTTACCACAACACTACGTTGTAGTAATAAATAGTCATATTTATGTAAATAAGTTTTATTTTAGTAATATTCTTGTAAAAAACTCTAATTTCTTCCTTTGATAATTTAATGATTTTATTAATTTAGTTGGTAGAAAATTCAAAATATCTTTCCTAAAAAAAATCAAAATGTCTTCAAATTGAACATACCATGCGTCCATGCCTATGTCTTATACCATGCTTGGTCATACTATTTCCATTTTTTCATATCAATTAATTAACTTCTTCCCTTTCTTTGGTAATTTAATGTTCTCGTTAATTTAATGGGTAAAAATTCAAAACGTGGAATGTAATATTTGAGGTATGCCTGATCAATCTATTATTTGGATGTTTTTTTTGGACTGAAATTTGTTGGTCTAGTCTGGTCTGGTTTGGTAAACTTTTAGTCTCTGTGTATTTTATAACTACGAAAGTCTGGTCTGGTCTGGGACTGAAAACATCTTTTGTTCCAATAGCAATATTAAAATTTATTCATACAACCTTCTAATTTATTGTACTCGACAGGAATATTTAATTATCAAGATTGAATTTGAAATTTAGATGAAATGTATCGGTATAAGAACGGAATGATAGAAAACTATCAATCTAGGACCTAACATTTTATATGTTTGATTATTTAATTTGTTATTAATTCCGTTGCTAATTTTTGATAGACTTTTCTTCAGAAAATTTAATAGTTTATTAAAATAAAATAATATTAACAAAATTAAAATAAAAATAATAATAAAATTCATGACAGTTTAGGTCCTAGATTGACAATTTTCAATCATTTAGGTCCTAAATTGATAGTATTCTATCACTCGGGTCTTATATTGATGCATCTCATCTTTAAGGTCTCGTATTGATAGTTCATCTATCTTTCGGGGCCTGAATCAATAAAATTCCAAATTTAATTTTTAACTTGTAATTTATCAAAGTCTATAAAGAAGGTTTGTAATATATGCATGGTCAATCTATTATTTTGAACTCTAACTGACTTTCAATCATTTAGGTATGGAACGTAATATATGTATGGTCAATCTATTTTTTATGAGAAAAATAATTCAAATACCCCAAATTTTGAAGGGTTGTGAGGTAAATATCTCAAACTTTACATAAAAAGTTATTTTTACACCATGGACATATATTAATTTAAAGTTTATGGTCATATAATTTATGATGAAAATTATATGATCATGGTGTTAACATAACTCTTTATATAAAGTTCGGGATACGAAAATTAGATATGTAAATTTGGGTTACTTAATTATTTTTCCCTTATTTGATATGAATAATTTGAAATGTAATGTACGTACGTATAATCTGTCTATTATTGAATTGTATTTGATATCAATTACTCACCATTTAATTTCTTCCCTTTTTCCTCATTAATTTAATGAGTAAAATATGCATTACATGGAATGCAAAATACGTGTCTTGAAAATTTATTAGATGTGGTACTCAATAGCAATATTGAACTTTTTTGAAAACGGCTTCAAATCTTGTACTCAATAGCAATATTTAATTGTACTCAATAGCAAATTATTGACAAATCAATTTCAGTTTGAAGGTTCTACTTTATTATTAAGTAAGTAGATTCTAATACGTATAAAAGTAACAACTCCTTCCTATGTTTAACTTAAGATAAAAGTTCTTAGCAAAGTAGGTTGGTTGTATAACGTACATTGAAGCTTATTTGGAAGGTCAGTCAGATTTACTATAATTTGAATAATCAAAATCCAAATAATACAAATGTGAGACACTACTGGCCACTTGTACATCATTTTTATCAATTAACATAGATGTACATTAATTGCATCTCCCACCTTGTAGCACAAGAGAACCCTAAACTTGTAAATTTGTAATTAACGATTTATTTTAAAATAATCACAGCTAACATCCTTGTAATAGACTCAACATGCCCAGACAACCTCCTCATATTAGACTCTATCACAACTCAAAAATCTTCTCACCTGATTCGACATAAAGATGATTACCTAAAAGCAATTTGAATAATTAATCATGCAAAAGCTTTGATGATTAAATCGTCTCTAGGAGCTTTAAAATTGATTAGTAAACATTATTTCACCACAAAATGTCAAAAACTCACCAAAAAGATGCAAGTATCAAAATAAATAAATAAATAAATTAAAAAAAATGCAAGGATTAAGTCTAATACTAGAAACTAGATTCCCAAATTAGTATGTCTTCATGTAGGCTCAGTTTGAAAATTTTGGCAAGTCACTCCAAATTCCAACAGAAAATTTCAGTCCAAAAGAAAACATCCTTAGAAATTACATTCAGATGGAATTTGTCAGCTTACCCGCCTAGGGATTATTATTGTAGATATTAAACATGAAAGTATTTCCCAAACTTGACAGTAGATACTATTTTTTAAAGAATAAAAATATGGCAGACACGTTTTGGAATTCCAAACATTTTAACTCCTATTTCGGGAATTTTCTCTTAAAGTTACTATAGATATAGTGTAACGGTCATTTAACTGTGACAGCTAAGCATAAATTATTACATATCTAAAGTACTACTATGATCACTACACTTAAGTTACGTTTTTTTAAACGACCTTTTTATTAGTCATAAACATGTAATTATGTCGCCTAGTGTAACGCCCCTCTCAGGGTTAAAGGAAACGCTACACTAGCATACTAGTTTTAAAAAAATAAACTGCAATATAACGGCCGTTTGTTGAAGAAATAACCCTGATAAAATCTCAAATATAACTAAAATATAACTCCAAATAAAAACTCAATAAAATCTAGTTATCACTGTGATAACCACCTGGATCCAGGAATTTATTCAAACTTCAAACCTTAAATAAAATAAAGTAATAATAATAAACTCTTTCTTATAATAACTGAAATACTGAAATATAATAATAGCTAGCTGGAAGCCGCCAAGGTCGTCCCCGTTAACTCATCTTGGCACGTGTTCCACTCTCTCATCACCTTCCTAGTACTTGGTCTTACCTTTAGTATCTGTACATGCGAAGAAAGAAACTGATAAGCTTTACGCTTAGTAAGTCACTATGGATCCACAAAAATATCTAGAAGTCTATGCCAATTTATCAATAGATAAATTTAGGCTATAAGCATGCACTGAACAAATAACTAACACATAACTTCTCAAATCCATTCTGAGGGAGATCTCAAAGGGAAAATATTTTCTCAAAACTGCTAGAGATCTCAAAATTTATTTCTGAAAACATCTCTGTAAAACTCTTTGAAAGAGATCTCAAAAACAACTTTCTGTAAAACTTTCTGAAAGAGATCTCATAAACTTTCTGTAAGACTTTCTGAAAGAGATCTCATAAACTTTCTGTAAAACTCTTTGTGGCTAATTTTTACTGTGGGCCCGTGATATGTACTCAAAGGCGCCAATCCGACAGCTCAGGGGAGCGACCCACTAAACATATCGGACTATCTGAAACTAAAAACTGCTAATCTGAGGGAACTTGTTCCCGAGTACATATCACCTTATCTTTCACTTTAAATATTAGTTCTTTTTATGGTGGTGACGTTTGATTAAAAACATCATTAAATCTGAAAATATATGTACTGACAAAACCTTGACTATGCCAGACAATAAACATAACTTAATTCAGCAAATAAAATAGCTCATCAAATAATTCACGAAGTTCACATAATAACAAATAGTCTAAAATCATCTATTAAAAATCAACCAGACTTCTTCCTTTCATTTGTTTGAACAAACATGTACAGGTGGTAGTGAACTTACCTGTCAAAGCTGAACTCAAACTACTCAGATATGGACGGCACCTTGATAACGTCTTCCGGTAAGCTCTTCTTAAAACTCTCAACTTTAATATACAATATAATTAGAATTTACTGGAGGAAGAAAATCATTTCTTACTGCTAAGATCAAATAAAAATTATCACTATGTGCGCAGGTGCACCATCTCAGAAATCACGTTGCTTATTTAGTTTACAGACTGGTGCAACCTAAATTGAACCAAAAACTGAAAACTCTCCATATCAACTCCAAACTGAAACTTTCTCAATTAACAACAAACTAAAATTTTCTATATTAAATACTGACTGCTGGACGGCTACTTCAAATTAACCGGTGGAAATTTACTAAACTAAAGTTTAGTTTAACACCCGAACTAACCAGCCCCTTTAAAGTCAAAATTTGAATTAAAACACTAAGGTGTTAATGCTGATTCCTAAAGAAGGATAAAATCTGCTAAATCATAAAATCACGTAGTGGAAGAATAGGCTGCAGATAAAATTTTAAACTAATGATTAATTTTGCAAAATTCGCATCTCTGTTTAAAATGCCTCTAATCAAACTATAATAGCAAAAAAAAAAAAACTCAGCCACCATCATCTATACTCACAGAGGTAAGGAAGAACGATTACAGAGAAAGAAATAATCATAGCTGATTGAAGATGTTATAATCTGAATGATTCTGGGAGGAAGAATCTAAGAGTTCAAAGAGAAAAGAAGAGATGGAGGTAATTTAACAGGGGAAAAGGAATTCAGCTTACCTTGTTAAAGGATGCAGAATGACAATCTGATTAAATCTTTGGCCAACAATTTGAGAGTTGGAAAGAAAGCTTCCAGGACGAAAGAAACAGCCGGTAGCAGCTAAGGAAAAGAGCCGATCCTCAAAGGTTTACGGTGGTTATATATTCTATTTTGGGGGTATCAAAATATCGCCCAAGTAGCCTCTTCTACCTTGTGATTCCGCCACAACACTTTTACTAAAGCTATCTCTTTGTTCCGGAGACGTCTTACCTCACGATCAAGAATTTGTACTGGCTTCTCCTCGTAAGACAGATCATTTTGCACTTCTATTGTGGGGGGTATCAAAATATGCTCCGGATCAGCAAAGTATTTCTTCAACATCAAAACATGGAAGACATTATGAATGCCAGAAACTCTTTTGGTAGCGCGAGCTCATAAGCTACCTTCCCAACTCGTCTAGTGATCTCATAAGGTCCGGTGAATCTGGGGCTAAGCCTTCCTTTCTTTCCGAACCGCATAACACCCTCCATCGGGGCTATCTTAACGAAAACAAAATCTCCAACTTCAAATTCTAGAGGTATCCTTCGAACATCTGCATAAGTTTTTTGTCTGCCTTGGGTAGATTATATCCTTTGCCTAATAGTCTTAATAGCTTCAGAGGTCTCATCTATCAGCTTCGTCCTTCCTGTTTCATACTATGATATGTGAGATCTACACCTCCTCCCATACAACGGCTCATATGGAGATGAAGGTTGCTTGATAACTATTCTTATAATCAAACTCTCAGATTAAGGTATTTCGTTCATCCTTCTGGAAAATCTATTGCACACGTTCACAACATATATTCTTAAATCTGATTGATTCTATCCATATGGCCGTCAATTTGAGAGTGAAAACAATAGTAAACTTCAACTTCGTACCGTATGATTGTTGTGCGCACTTCCAGAACTGAGACATAAATCTTGAATCTCTATAAAAAATAAAACCTTGGGACACTATGCAATCTAACAATCTCCTGAATACATAGTTTTGTCAACTTATTCTACAATATACTTGCTCAAATTGGAATGAAGTGAGCATACATAGTCAATCTGTCCACTGTAACCCATATAGTGTCATAATCTCAAGTTGTCTTCGGCAAACCCATAAGTAAGTGGAACCATACGCAGGGGCAACACTCAGAACTCTTTCTTGGAGTTCTGGCTGTTCTGCTCTAGAGTTATGAAGCTGAAACTTAAATTAAAAGAATTTCACTACAATTGGAATTAAAATTTTCAAAGAGGAAAGAACCTACTGAAATATAATCATCTGAGAGGTTATTTACTTTCTCTCTCTCAATACGGAAAACTGGCTAAAACTAAAGTGAAATGGGCTACTCAATAATATTACGATCAAATTCCAATTGAGTTTCTGTTGAAATGTACCGACCAGAACAACAACAAAATCCCAAATTCGACACACCCCTTTTAAAAGAAAATAAAACTGAAATCAGTTCTCTTGATAAAAGTAGTGTTGTTGGTCCAAGAAATGATACATGAAAATTTTAACAAGTAATTACAAACAATATTCTGCAATATGGTTGATAGATTGAAAACAGTCACTGAGGTCACATTTTGAATTCTGCCAATTTGAAATTAAAGACGCAGCACGTTATTAAAAAAAAAATCAGAACAGAACCAACACACTTCATCTAGTTCAGATTAAAAAACTGAAATGGCAATACTTTGGTATCAACATGAATCAAGCTATCTGAAACCCTCACTAAAAACCAAGGCATATCCCAATTTGACCAAACAGAACTTACACACTAAATTCTTCTAAAGATTTTTTTTTTTTAAAACTCAAGTACCTTAATGCTAAAATTGTTTTACTGGTGGTAGAACACCGGATGAAAACACTCCTAAATATATATTTAAAATATAAATCAGCTCCTTTTTAGTAAAAATAAATTACTGATGCGATGAGTATGGAGGATGACTTAGAAATCCTTAAGCATAGAAGAGAATTCAATTCACTTGTACAAAACTTTAACAACGGCGGTGTAAGGTTTGATTTACAGGAACTCAAAAATTTTAACAACTAATTTATCAAGTTTAAATCATTAGAATTCAATCAAGAATTGATGCGCTGTCAGAGATAAAACTGGTTTGTTGATAGAGAGAAATCAAACTGAAACTATGAATTTGGCAAAATAAAATAGGAAGAGTATTCAATTTATCGGGTATGAGATGTAATTCAAGAGTCAATCTAATAGTAGCTCTAGTCAACTGAATGAAAGAGGAGGAGGAGATGCAGCTATTATTGATGGAAGTAAAGCAAATCGTGTATATAAGCAATACTCTTTAGGGCTTTACCCAAAATACTGATTCGGGGCAAGATAATTGATTTGGGTCTCTAAGTCTTCCAAAAAAAAATGCTTCTGACTCAAACTGAATATTATACTCTAACTTTCAAGGTATACTAATAAAATAAATACTATTAATTATTTCTTCACTTAAAAATTGTGGGAAGCTTACTGGTCAATTTAATCATCGGTTCTAAACTGGAGGTACCTATTTCTGATCATCACTTCACGAAGTCCTCTATAATCTCTATACAGCCGCATTGTGCCATCTTTCTTCCCCACGAACAACATTGGAGCTCCTTTCGGTGAATAACTAAGTCGAATAAAATCCTTCTCTAGCAACTCCTGCAACTTGAAGATCTTCAGGAATACATCACTGTAATCCTTCACAATTGGAACTTCATAATGTTGGGTGAGTTCCCCTAAGTTCTTGTCTACTATGTGCACAATGAAAACTTCATAATCGATGTGAGTGAGTCTCCTTGTCTGCAACGCAGATATCAATACCTTACCTAATCTTTTAGGCTCTCCAAAAAAAAACATGAAAGGATTAGATCCTTCATACGCAAAACTATAAAATTTATTTTCAGAAATCAACTGAAGCGCTAAACTTTTCCAGAAAATCCATGTTGAAAACCACATCATAATCTATCATATCCAACACAATCAAAATGATAATAACTCTCTCCTTACTGTGCTCACAGGCACTGCTCGTAACCAATGAGTCGATAACATGATTTCTCCCGGTGGGAGTACTGTGGTGAATGAATCCATAATCGAGCTAAGCATAAGGTGATGCTACGAATTTAGCGAACTCAAGAGATACAAAGGCATGTGTGGCTCCAGTGTCAAATAACACATTAGCATGTCTATTAAGAACAAGTATCTGACTGGTAACAATGTCGAGATTTATCGATGCTTCTTCCTTTGAGATGGTGGACACTCTAGCAATAGGGGCCTCTAGTGGTGCTTCATGATGTCGTAGTTGGATCAATGGTCTCTCCAAGTAAGTCTACACATTCTGAACAGATGCTAAGCATGCTGAATTTCTTGGTATTTGAGCTAACTAATAGCCTTATTGATACCTTCTTATACATACACAGATACACTCCTTAGACATATGATCTTCAAGATGACTACTAAGTGTAGCAAACTTTAGAACTCAATATGCATTGGACTGGATGATTGCGGCCTCATCTAACTCACGATTGGAACTTCATTTATCTATTCTTATGTCCATGATGATGACCAACTCTCTTGTCGTCACCACCCTTAGAGTTCCTCTTCTTGTTGTTTTCCTAGTTCTACGCGTGTTTTTAAGATTATATTTCTATATGGTTGAACGTATGTTGGAACGCTTGCAAGGTAATACTCCCTTGGAGTACTTCTACCAACACAATCTACTACTGCAGCAGAGTCTGATCACCCTTTCTAAATGGACTGCTATGTTCTCCCTAAAAGCTAGCAAAAACATTCTCACTTTATGTCTCTTTGTTCGGGCAATATTACGACAAAGTAGATTGTGAATTTCAATTGAGCACTTGTGGGGATACTGACGTTAAAACACCGGTTAGCCAACTCCTCATTGAACCGGTCTATGTCATCTATGAAATATTGTATCTCATCTCGAAAACCTCCCACCATTCGAGCATCCATTGTCAAGAAATAAGGTTCACACATTATTTTGTCATTATCAGGGTTTCGTTACTCATTGCCATTTTCTTGATTGCATAGAGTAACCACGAGTTCTCCTCAATATTCTTTAAGCAATTGAGAGCAATTCTTGGCTATATAAAAAAAATATACACACTATACAATTAAACTAAAAGCATTCTCACTTCTATTCTCTATTTAACTAACTTTTCTTACTCATGTACAGAACTTTAAACTTAACTTAAAATACTTACTTGGAAGATGACGAGCACGTGTACGGTGACAAATGAAGTTACGGGACAACGTGGGCTCTGATACCTAGGGTCTAAAAAATTTGTAGACAATATATAAGGATATATGTATGTTGAAACTAGCTTGTGATAGATCCGCTAAAACTTTGCAAATCATGTACTCCGTACAAAATAGCTACAGTGCTTTATATAATATATAAATTATATTAAATGGTTCACATTGGGCTATATGATACGGAATATATTTTAAAAATGTCCTATGTAATTTATGTTAAATAATCAAAGCAAATGACACAATTTGTTTACTTGTGTATCCGCATGCAAAATAGTTTTTTCTTGCATTTACGTATACATTGGTTAAGCATGTTCAATCACCAGTTGTTGCGAAGTCGCGCAATCGCTTCTACTATTATCAAAAAGTGCATTTGCTTAACGTTATTGCATCATTTCGATCAATAAAATCTAAAAATGTAATCCTAAGTTAAGATTATATTCTCTTCGTCTTGCTTACATCTAAACAGAATCCTTAATCGATTTACCATTAAGCATTGGCCTATGAAAAACCGGTATATTTTTATAACCATGCCATGTTTTCAAATTCATGCGGTAGAGTTAACCAATCAATTGAGAAGAAAAAAACTATTTACAATACGGTTACGGTTTTGTAATTATATACTATTTCTGATTAATCGATACTCCAAAGTTAATATGTTACTCCCAATTTCATTTCGTTCAAGAAATCCAATATGAATTCATACAGTTCAAATAAAGAGTTTAAAGATTTTGGGATGATGAAGCCCCATCTTGACCATCCATTTGACCAACAACAATAAGTCAATAATAGCATCTCACAAAATTCGCAATCCATGATTATTCGACGTCTCTTGTGAACTTTCTCAAATTTAAGCTCCCAATTGCTTCATGGTAGGCCTATCTTCACAATTCAAGTGAACGCGTCTCCACCTACGAAGATGGTTAACAATTAATGGTTAACCTATATTATGATTAAATGTTATTTGATCAACAGTCGTTATGGTACGATCAATGTATCATATACATATTTACTGATATCTCACTTAACTATAAATTACTTGACTGAATGTTAAACCGCAGCCACTCCTAATTAGTACTTCTATGAATCTTATTAACTTCCATTTACTTTTTTGACTCTTCCTCTCTTTACACTCTGCCGCAACATCTCGATTCTTCATTTTTTCCTAGTATTTTCATTTCTTTCTTTTCTATGCCGTAATACTCTGACCAACTAGGTTGCTAACTTGCTATTAATCCAGAGCAAATGGAATATGAAATTCATTATTACAAATTCACAATGAATTTGAATACAACACCCGTAAAGTATGACTTTCAAACATATTAGTAGGTAATCACACTCTAAAGCGTCACATTATGTCATCAAAGGGATGTAAGACTGGACCAAAAAAAATTGAGTCGTATCCATTTTTGTACACACTTTTGTACATTGCTTGTGTACACAGTCAATTAGAAAACAAATAATGTCTTCTTAACGAATTGCTTGTGTACACAGACTAGATAGAGGGGTGAGTACAAATATGTGTACATAAGTGGGTACAAACAGATTTTTTGATAAAACTTTGAAGGTACATTTTGTTTACGGGCATAATATAGCCTTTCCAATGACATCACTTCTTTCTAATAGGAGTATGTTTTCGAACTTGTGATCTTTTCCTTGATAATGTTATAAAATGTCATCGCATCATAAGGTACTTGACATTTTTCAATTGCATTATTAGAATAAGAAGATTTGAGATTTATATACAAATGAAATAAACATAAATTATGGATCGTTGGGTCACAACTTGATGACTCACAATGTCTAGGCTACAAAGCGAATTAAGTGACATATATAATTGTATGTTTAATAACTTAAGATAAAAGTTCTTAGCAAAGTAGGTTGGTTGTATAACATTGAAGCTTATTTGGAACGTCAGCCAGATTTACTATAATTTGAATAATCAAAATCCAAATAATACAAATGTTAGACACTACTGGCCACTTGTACATCATTTTTATCAATTAACATAGATGTACATTAATTGCATCTCCCACCTTGTAGCACAAGAGAACCCTAAGCTTGTAATTAACGATTTATTTTAAAATAATCACAGCTAACATCCTTGTAATAGTCTCAACATGCCCAGACAACCTCCTCATGTTAGACTCTAACACAAGTACACCACTCAAAAATCTTCTCACCTGATTCGACATAAAGATGATTACCTAAAAGCAATTTGAGTAATTAATCATGCAAAAGCTTTGATGATTAAATCGTCTCTAGGAGCTTTAAAATTGATTAGTAAACATTATTTCACCACAAAATGTCAAAAACTCACAAAAAAGATGCAAGTATCAAAATAAATAAATAAACAAATTAAATAAAAAAATGCAAGGATTAAGTCTAATACTAGAAACTAGATTCCCAAATTAGTATGCCTTCAAGTAGGCTCAGTTTTAAAATTTTGGCAAGTCATTCCAAATTCCAACCCTTCCTCTTCCTCCACTCTTCAATTTTTTGTTCTGAGTTGCTTCCTCCTTTCTACCCATCCAACCCCACAATCCAAATTCCGTCCCCCTGCCAACCCCACAATCCAAATTCCGTCCCCCCAGGGCCGTCTAATGAATTTGGAGTCTCCAATTCAAAATGTAAAATTCGGACCCCGCATTAAAATAAAAAATTAAAAAGAAAATCAATTCAAATACTAATACTCAAATCAATTGAATACCGATTAAAAGAGAACTAAAAGAGTAAAAGGGCCAACGAAAAAAATGACAAATCTATATTTTTCTTCCTTACTAGCTAATTGTATTTTACTGATTAATAGTAATATATAATACTACATGTTACTAAATAATACTACTAATTTTTTTGCACAAAAAAATACTACTAAATTTTTAAAAATTTGGGGCCCAATAAATCTTGGGACCCTGTTCTGGATAACCTATTGAACCCCCTAAAAAACGCCCCCAACACACCACGGCACCACCATTTGGAACTAGCCATTTATTTCTACTTCCAATTTTACAGCCCTTAGCCATGCACAGTCTATAAAGCCTCTCAATTATTCAATTCCTTAGCATTTTCGGGATTTTCTCCATGTCCAATAATGCCACATAAACAAAGACAAATTGGACAATTTTTCATATTGAGTTCTACTTCCCCTTTTCAACGTCAATCTCGGCTTTAGAGGTTTCCCAATATCTAGTGTTAATTACCTTGGTGCAAATGTATGATTTCCACACCCCCAAATTTATATTGATTTATATGTCTGAAAGAGGCAATGAAATTTCCAATTTTTCCGAGAAGGATTGAGTTAAAAACCCAATTGGCTAATTATGGAACCAAACCCAAAAAAACTAACTTTGCTAGTGGAACAAACAATGAGAGATCTACATCGTCTAACTTATGAAGCATAACCAAATTTGATCACTCTAAATTCTATTCATATCATCCTTATGGTGAAATTTTAAAAAATAATGTGGCGATCCCAAATCGGTAATCAAGAAACCCTTAATGGGTTTCCACATTGATGCTACAGTTACTTTAAAGAAAAGAAGATATATTAATCATTCCAAAGTAATCATTCATATTGGCATGAACGGTCGTGTTACATGTACATCAAAATTTGTACACATTTTGTACATAGGCGATTCTTGAACGAACTGCATGTGTAGCAATTAGAGAGTGTACATAAAATGTGTACAAATTTTATGTGCTAGTAGCTTTTTTCAGGCATGAAATCCACCCATTTAGCCGATTCTGAAGAGGCCCCCTCGATCAAGCCTTCTTCATTTACCTCCACCCATTTTCGACCACATGCTAGTTCAAGAGCATCCACTTCTTTTGCTACTCTCGCTCTCTCCTCGCACTCGCTAGTGGTAAAGTAAGAAACTCTTGTCGTCAAACTACGCCTTACACGATTACACGAGAGGGGTTCTGGAGAGGCGGCACATCATCGTTCTTTCCCCTTATGAGCTTTTAGATGCTAAAAAATCAATTTAAAGAATGAATAAAAATTGAGTGGACAAATCAATTTAAAATCAATATAATCATTATGTTGCTCGTGATGTAATTAGCTAGTCCAATTGCTCTTACAAACGTGATTTACTCTCCATCTGAACCGAGCGCTAGTAATTGAGCGGAGATTCTTTATATAATTACATACGGAGTATTACATAGTGTATAGTACATGTCAAAATGATCATACTTCATCCGTTCCTTAAAACGTTGATCAACTACATATTTTTATTGAAAAGTATTTACTACTTATAATATAAAAATAGCATGAAAATGTTCTTTATTAAAAGTAATTTTATAAAAGTATTTACATATCCTCATCTTGTATATCCGACTAACGTGATTGATCTTCTTGTCGCCACTTAGATGTAATTGCCAAAAGATTAAAATCATTGTTTCTCCGATAAGATTAATATCTCTAGAAGAATAAAAAGTATGGAACTCAAAGAGACAGTCATTTTGAGAGCCAGCTGCCATTTTGAGAGCCAGCTGCCACAATAACCCCTAGCAGGCAACCGTCTTTCTCCAGAATGACAGTTACAGAGTGATGATAATTGGCAGCTGTCATTAACATCTTCTTTGGAAAGTATCGTGACATTCGCTGCCAGAGATTCATGATAGGGTATGACTCAACTTGACTATTCTTTTATTGTTGTATTTGTTCTATTCTATGGTAATTCTTTCTCGAACACTGATATTCCGGTGTGTTTTGTCTTCCTCAGTGTGGGAAGTTGCTTTGGTGCCCTGGGCTCCTAAGTCCTAGCCAACTTCACCTAGCATGGAGTTTCTGTCTACCTTCTTTTGGGATGCATAGAGAAAAATGGTGGAGGCATAAAGATTACTTTTTACTCTAACTGTTTCTACATGACTACATCTATTCATGATGAAATTAGAAAATAAATTTAGTATTCATCCATATTACAACAGCTCATCCTCCTCCAGAACCACCCATTCCAAGAAGAATTTTGTGTCAATGATTTATTCCAACATTATTTTTTCTTTAATAGTACTTTTTTTTTAGTTCGAGTAGTTTTGATTTAGGTATTTAGATATTTAGAATTCTTTTGATGGGTAGTGTTTCATTTACGGGAAACTATTTTGTATGAAGTAGCTAAATTTATGTCTATTCCTTGGTCTTACGAACGGATCTGTAATAACTGTCTGGATGTTGTCTTTTATGTTATTATAGCTTCTATATATTATACTCCTTTCGTCCTGCTAAAATTGCCTCATTTTTTCTTTTAGGGAGAGAGACTCACTATGATTGTCACATACCAAATTTAGTAAAGTTTGTATGACTCTAAATTATAGAAACTCACTTTATTCTTATTTTATTATGTCTCAAACAAACTCATGTCCTAATGTTAATTGTTAATGGGACGGGATAGTAATAAAATTCCTAATCGAAATCATAGTCCAACATGGAATTGATATCAACTATTCAACGCAACACAACAAGATGTAACGGAAATTGTCAACGTGGTGTAAAATTGTCTTTGATCGCACTAAATTATACCTAGTATAACACAAAGACCAAATTAAACACGTTTAAACTAGAGGAACTAGTATAAATAAAGTTGTTAGAGGAAGGGCCTCTTAGGTCTTTGCCGAAAATTACTTAAACCTTGATGTCATGCGAGGAAGGTAGAGCCGCCGTCGGTGGTCCTAAGTATCAAACTCCAATGGTATAAGAATACACCACGACAAAGGTTCTTTTCTTATTTCTTGTTGAAAGGAGACTTCTAGAGAGAGAAAAGAATAGGTAAGAGATACCACTTCAAAACTTGTGCTAAAATCTATATGTTTGACTATCTTTTCTATATATAATATGATATAATATGATTATAAGACTAGTATATGGCGGTACAGTAATTATTTGTGAAGCACCCACAAGCTATAATATGATTGAATGATTGATTCATCATAATATCTCACACGCAGGAGAAGATTGTTAGTGGTCGGAAAGATCATCGGCGGCCAGGACGTACTTTTATATGATGACTTCCGTCGTGAAAAATTGCAGAAGAGGGGCTTTGTCGTCATTTACACAGCTATATCCATGCAAGCTTTTCTTATGCTCACTTTTTGTCATCGTCTTCTTCTTCTCCAGCTTTGCTTTCTCCCCTAGCCGCCTCTTCTCTCTAGGTACTTTCCAAACCACCCGTGATTAATTTTTGATTAATTAATTCAGTTTAGATTAAAGTTTTTTTTTCTTTCCTTTAGCAGGAAAAGAAATAATTAAATATTGCTTGCGTGAAGAATGAGTTAATAACAATAATAATATAATTAATTTGTTGAACAACTAACAGGGTACTATTCTCCGCGACTGGTGACGACTTGGAGTGATGCATCTGCAGCGTTGGCAGTGCTCTCCAGCAACTCGTCTGATTTTTCGAAGGTCTCAATTCAAGAAACCGTCATAACCCCGGACGAGGCACTCCTTTTTCTAGAATACCCCCGGTTAACGAGGCTGTTTACCAGAGGAGAGCTTGACTGCGTTTACTTTTCTCCAGCAGGCTACACTTCATCACCAGCTCCACCCAAGTCAGTTGATGATGAGCACTCCGGCCGCCAGATTATACGGTGCGAACTTCCGCCACATGGCTCTTCGGTGTCCCTTGCCGTGAAGATGGAGCCGCACTATCACTACCTCCCAGCAGGACCCACATACAATTGGGATTCACTTGCTTATGAGGCAGTTATTGACAGGGACAACACAACAGTTGTATTCGTGAAGGGCTTCCGTCTCAGGGGTGGAAAGGCATCTGATCCATCCAAGTTCAGGTGTGTCTATGGTTGGGATCTCAAGAACCCGAAACGCATGCTCCATTCTGAGGTTGTGTCAATAGCCCAAGAAGTTGTAAGGTGTAAAACACCTCCGAGCATACTCAGCAGCTTAAGGAGGTTTGGCACTAAAACCCTTAAGGTTTCAGTTAGGATGGTTGGGAAAGGACCATTGGACTCTGTGGCCCGGCCCCAAGTCAAACTAAAAGACCCTGGCCTGATGGATGGGAGGAAAAAGCACAGCATGTGCGTTTGCACCATGTTAATGAACCAAGCACGGTTCTTGCGAGAGTGGATAATGTATCATGCCGAGATAGGGGTGCAACGTTGGTTCATCTACGATAATAACAGCAACGACAACATCAAGGACGTACTTGATTCATTAAAGGCATCATACAACGTCACACGACATGTGTGGCCTTGGATCAAAAGCCAAGAGTCTGGGTTCGCCCATTGCGCACTTCGAGCAAGAGACGTGTGCGAGTGGGTTGGGTTCATAGATGTGGACGAATTCTTTTACTTGCCGGCTCGAACATCTATCCAGCACGTTCTAACACTACAACCTAGTTCTATTGCTGAGCTGCGGGTCCCATGCCATAGCTTTGGCCCGTCAGGATTCAAACAGGTCCCGGAACAAGGAGTAACTGTGGGTTACACGTGCCGGCTTGCACAGGCTGAGAGGCACAAGAGTATAGTCCGACCGCAGGCATTGGACCCCACATTGATGAATGTGGTCCACCACTTCGGGCTGAGCCCAGAATACAGATATGTTAATATAGACACAAGCTTGATGGCAGTGAACCACTACAAGTACCAGGTGTGGCAAGTCTTTAAGGAGAAGTTCCATAGGAGGGTGGCTACCTATGTGTCTGATTGGAAACAGGATCAGAATACTGGCTCTAAAGATCGAGCACCTGGCTTAGGAACCAGAGCGATTGAACCTCCAGACTGGTCGAACCGATTCTGTGAGGTCATAGACACCGGCCTGAAAGACCAAGTACTCCACACATTCAGCGGCGGCTTGCCATGGCAAGATGAGCAACAACAATATCACTCATGGTTTTGAAACCTCAATAATTTCCTACACCCAAAATTTGTGTGTGATCATTGATTGAATATATGTACTCAATAGGAGGGGGGGGGGGGGGGGGGGCGATTCCGGAACCCGGCTGGAATTGGGCAGTTAAATGACCCAAACCGGGACCATTTGAATGGGAACCAGAACGGAATCATTACCGGGAATGGGTCCAAGCTGGGTACAGTTCCTGTTCGTATGTGTATAACGCTTTTAACTGGATGATTACAGTTCCTTTTTTTCATTTTTTCAGAAATTGGCTACAAATCAGTTTGGAGCAGGAACAGGAACCGGTTTGGGACTGGTACTCAAATTTACTAATCTCGGTTACGGGTATAGATTGTGTCGGACCGTGAACCAGCTGGTCCAGAACTGGCCTGTCCCTGCCCTTACTACTCTAAGTTAAATGGTGCATTGTTTTCTTCAGTACAAACCCTGTGTAATCACTCATTACCGTTGCAAAATTGTGGCATGAAACTCTGAAAGTTTAGTGAATCGTCATACATTAATCATTTAACAAAACCTGTTAGTTATTGTCTATGATGAGAGTGCTTTCGGCTGCTACCCTTGTCTCTTTGTATGACCCTGAAAACAAATGTTACAAACCCTACGGTGGCTATCGCATAGAATGTGGTATAAGGAGTCAAGGCCAGACCGGAAAGGTACGATACATATCCAGCAAGAAGATATGCTAAGCTTAGTTTTATCTCCCACTGCCCTTTGAAGCCCGGAAAGGGAAAGAAGAAGTTGAATTCGGGCCTTGGATCACAAATGCCATGTAGCAGAACACCAATAATCAGTATAGAATCCAAAAACCATGGAAAGCTCTGACCAACTCCGATCCTCTGTCCATGTAAGGAATCCCAGCATAAGAAATAATAATACAACCGCCCAGGAACAAATAGCAAGTCTGCCCCCAATTATGAATAAAAAAGTACAACACTTTTTACATAAAAATTGGTCGTGGGGGCGTTTTTCCATGTGTTGTACTGCTATGTCATGTGTGTGAGTGGTGTTCTTGTCCTATTTACACTGCATGGTTCTTATATCCTTGGAACAATGATGAGTATGTTTGATAAGACCTGAAATGGCAAATTTGGCTGGCTGAATAGGGTGAAATTGTGGTGGGAAGGTTGAGTCTGTTGAATTATCTAAATCATTTATTTAAAATGAGTTTTAAAAAAAAAAAGAATATACAAATATGAAGGTTGAAGTACATAATCATTCATCTAAGCAATTTCAGCCCAAAGTAATTTACGTACCGCTTTTTATCAAGCAGCCGATTCAACCAACCCAATGACATAAGTTGGGCTTAGGCAAAAAAAACCTTGCTCATAAGACAGGGAAATTGCCTACCAAATTTTTCTTCACCTTTCGTCTTATTACTTATTCTTATTTTAAATAGATCTATAAAAAATTGGATAAAATCAGACCAGAAAGATTTAGAGCAAATCAGAATTCCGTTCACGTCAACCTTTTTTCAGGTGAAGACCATAGGTCCTAGGTTTTGCATCGCCACTTGTGACCAAACAAGAAATGGAAGAAAAGTAGATAATAAAAAAATTGAATACCTGAAGCCAGGCCACAAGAGAGGGAAGAAACATTAGCGTGGCAAGCAAATGCAAGATAAGCAGGCCATGTCTGTGGTGAAAAATCTCTAACTGTGTTTCAGCATAGCTTTTCACATTCTCCAGGCCACTAGAAATATTTTCGTTCAGGGGGACAAGTTTATTACTTTGACCATTATACTTGGGGATGTGTTGCCTGTATTTACTCATTTCTCCATCTCCAGACCCTCCTCTTGACTCTTCATTTTGTACATGACTGCGAAATGAGGCCAGTAAAAAACTGTTTACAAAAAGAACAATTGTTTTTAGTGCAGTGGTTTAAAGTATTCAAGCCAAGACCAAACATCAGGCGAGACAAACCTTGGCTTGGAAGTACCTACCTTGAGAGAGCATTGTGACAACTGACAGCATGAGATGAAAGCAACAAAAAGAGACCCAATGCAGGATGAACAAGGCACACAACTGGAAAGGCAACCAGAGCAATAACAGGTGAAGGATGGGATGTTATTATCCTCACCACCTGCTTCAGGCATAAAAGATCAGAATAAATCACCAATCCATGTGATTTTTGAAATTTAATAGTTATACAAAACATATTCAACAAATTCAGTTTTCTGGAGTCTACAAGCTTCAGCTGCTAAGATTTACAGCTTGAAACTTAAATCGAGCAATTGCCTATTTTATTTCTGGAAGCTATGCAAAACCGGTCTTGTATTGAAGGAATATATGCAAAACCAGTCTTGTTTTGTAAGAAACTGAGGTTTAAAAATTGAATCATGAACACTTATTAAATGAGAATGGCATATTACCTTAGATGACAAAACAGCACATGAAAGACTCAGAAACCATTGGGGAAAGTATAAACGCTCATTGTTTTCGAATGTCCGCCACCTGTAAATCATTAGCTCATTTTTTTGTTTAGTAATACTTTTAAAAAGGGCTAGAGGCATGTATAATGTACAAGGAGAAGTGAGAGTACATTCATATACACAATAGTACTAACCGTCTCTTGAAAAAAGCATGTGCAGTTGCAGCTATATAGAACACCAACAGAGATATCGCAATCAGCGCCAACATTAACCCATTTGCAAATAAATAACAAATTGTTGAGATGATAATGAAGCTTATGACTGAAGCAAGCGGCTGGGAGAATAGGTAAGAGTGTAGCAAAACCAGAAAATTGGGCACTAGGGCAAGAGAGATAAATGGCAATGGCAATCTCAAATTTGACTCGACAGCAGAAAGAAGTGAAGGAATGGGCAGATCAATTTCCCATGCATATGCTTGCCGCATCAAAGCGAAAAAGATAACAGCAATTGAAAACCCAAATATCTGTAGCACATAAAACCAAAGAAGTCTAAATAATCATTTTGGAAGTATCAAACAATAATCTAAAAACTCTAAACTGACAACCAAAACTAACAGATGGTTTAAATGGCATCCAACTGTAAGATAGGGTGGGGGGTAAAATCTTTTAAATTGTGGCCAGCTACCTATGTATAGCTTGTTTAAGCATCACTTCAATTTCTTTTCACCATGATAGCCAATTAGTCATTTCCAACTATCAGGAAAAGTTTAGACTGCATCAGATAATGAGAAATATGTTATCACCTGAGAAAAGTATAAAAGTATAAACCTTCCAGCAGCAGTGGTGATAGGAACGTCAAAACTAGTTCTATATGAACAGTGTGGGTCGATCTGCAAAGAAGGGCATAAAACAACTCTAAAGATTAAATGTGTTAAGTAGAACCACAAAATGACTACTGTTTCAGTTTAACTTACCAGCAATAGTACATTTGTCTTCTCTGAACCTGGTTTCGAACTCCAGACTCCCGGAGAGGAATCCACCATAATAGTTTCAGAGTACAAATTAGGGAAAACATTAAGCCCAGACGAGGCATCCCATGCCATAGCTACAGGTGGGAAGCACCGGAGCTTGCAAAGACCTGAATTACCAGGGAAATAGAGAGTTTGAGCAACACATTGTCGAATCAAAGAAATATTATTTGAACTAAAAGGTATTGTGAATCACTAGTCAGGATCAGGCTTGAAAGTATATTTGACATGAAAGCAATGCATAGTAGTATCCAGTTCATCACGCTAAAACAGATTGGATATTCTAATGTGAGCATATGACTGAATATTTGTGTTTGGTTCCTATTAATGAGGCAACAATTAGTAAGAGAACAACTGAACAAGCACACTGCAAAGTCCCTAGATCCTTAGCACAACATTGAGTCTTCATCACTTTCAACGGCAACTTCAAAAATAAATTCGAAAAATGACCAATTCATCACACTATATAAGATAAAATACTCTGATCTGACAAAGGAAAGTTGAGCATTAAACATAGAAACATGCATCTTGAAAAAATCTGGAACTTGGTTCTAGATAGTTTAGTCAGAAACTCAGAACCATTTAAAACTAAAAGAATAGTCTTTCTAATTATAAAAAATACAAACTTGGAACCACCGAATGTCATTTTCTATTTTTTTAAAATGGTTGGCATGGGGGTAGAGATATTCTTACTGCTAATATCCATGTCTCCTGTCTCATCAGCTGAGAATTCTGACTTTTGTATCCCGCAACCAGTGGTTTTAACAGACATTGTTACAGGCAGAATGGCTAAGCTAATGGAGAACCAAATATTGATGACAAGAGGGTGATCTTCTTTCAATAGAATGTCCTGCGGTGTTTTTAAGTCATTTCACAGCAGATCCATTTACAGTTTAAAAAAGTCCATTAGCAGTTAAATACCAGTCAAGCACTGAATTTTAAAAATACTAACCTTTTGACTGTATATCATGGGAATCACTGATTGAGGAGACAACTCGATTTCCCCTTCATCTGGATTAAAGAATTGTCCAACGCCCATTGAAGTAGCTGGGGGTGGTCTTCCTGAAACAGTCTGAGCATCAGAAGGTTACTGTATGCACATGCAGTCAAACAATAACAATATTCAAAACCCAAAGAGAAGAACTTTTGTGTTAATGATCATTTGATGCTATATAAAAAATGAATGAAAAAGAAGCAACCGCAGATTTCTTCAAAGAGAGAGAGAGCACCCACCAAAGACCAAGAAAGCTCTACACTTTATGCAGGAAATAAGCTCTGAAGTTATACTTTCTGAAATGGGACTTTTAATTATTATTAAAAGCTTTGATGTGAACCACAGAGGCCAATTAAGTTAAAAATGCTAAACTGAGTATTGAATTACATTTAAGATATCCTAGCTGTTGTGAATGTAAGATAAAAAAATCATAACTACATGACAATAATTAGAAAGCTCAAAACAGCACAATGTTCAATGAGCTCAACAATCTGGTTGACGAAAAAAGGGAATGAGATAGGAAACGCGAAGATTTGACTGTTATAATATGACTAAAAGAAAACAATGAATGAAAAGACAAACCAACAAGTAAACAAAAGAAACATCAGAAGCCACGTCGTGTAATTATCATAAGGGCGGAATATCTAGTTCAGAGAAATAAAATAGTGAATTCATTTATGATTTATCCCACAAGAGAGTTAATTACAACTATTACTGGAAATATTAATGCATGAGTTCAAAGATGCAGAAGATAAATACCTGGCGAGGTGCCACTGATATTGTCAGAAATCGAAATTCATGCATATCAGTTGGGTGCAACCATAAAATGGAAGAAGGAGATGCTTGCTCAGTCTGACTCCCGGGTTCTATCTATTAAATAATTATTTCAGGAAAAGTTATCTACTACTTATACAGCAAGTCAGCAATTAGTCAAAAAACAAGAGTTCATAGCAACAAATACCTGCCTTGGAGCAGGTCCTGAGGGGATATTTACCATCTTTGAAGTTACTTCTACGATCCGTTTATTAACAGAAATATCTGAAGTCAAGATTCCTTTTGCAGGCCAAAGGTGTAGTCTTACCCCAGAGCAAGGAGATAGATTTGTGACAAAAACAAAGTGACCTTTTCCATTTGCTCCCTGAGTATTCCAAGAGAGCGGTAAATCAACAACGACAGTTTATAAAGCAAGTAGCAGGCATGCAAATCCCCAATGGAAAACTGTAATACTCAACACTAAATTAAGATGTAAATCTCTTTTGATCTCAACTATAGTGGCATTGCCGCTCTTAATACTCAACACTCTCTTTGAAGATGGCCTCGTTTGATCCCTTGACATTTCAAAAATACACTTATATTACTGAACTTTGGTGAAATTCAAAAAGTTGAGGGACAAGAGGTCAAATTGATTGTTGAGGACTTAAAAAGACAATGCCACCATAGTCGAAGAACCAAAAGCGGAAACTCTTATAGTAACCATGTCTATGAGACAAGTATGTCGTAGACGAACTATAATTTTATCTCACCAATTTCTGGATATCCAGCCAACGCCTCCTTCCATCCATTGCTAAAATGGTCACAGTAGTTGTTTTGATGTAAAGATCCCTTTCAAGTCCATCATCAATCCAATGGGTGCTTCTAGGGCAAGTAAAATTACTACCCTCAGGTCCTGCATCCCAATAAATCAATTAACAATAAGGTCGAACAAAAACAACATTACCCATGTGCCGCAAAGGCTCCCACCTAGGGTGGGGTTGATAGGGACCTACCTATTAGAATAATATTAGAAGTAATAATAATAATATTAGTAATAAGGGTCTCTAGTATAAATAGATGTAAAGTGGGAGTAATTAGGAGGCTTTTGGGACATTTGTCTGGGACTGGGAAGATTTGAGACTAGCCGTCTCTATCTTTTGGGAAGCTTCAGCTTTGGTTACTGTGTTTCCCCTGTAATCGATCTTATCTCATCTATAAAGTTTCCAGTTGATTTCTTATTAATCTTCTGCAAATTGTTCTGGATTTTTGAGGTTTCTATCAAATTGTTCTGGATTTTTGAGGTTTCTATCAGGGGTAAAGGGGGTCGGATGTACACAGCATACCCCGTACTAAATTTGTGTGCATCGCATGAATCAATTTGAATGTGTGTTAGGACTTAGAGATTGTATTTCTAATACAAGTATTACAGCTTTAGTTTATTTGTGTAATTTTAATGCACATTTCTCACTTCGACTCACATATACTACTACCATTGACTTTCAGTTAATGTGCGCATTAGTGGGTCTGTTTCTTCGTGTAGTTTCTGTGGCTCCCTAAGCGTAAGAGCTAAGAAGAGAAACAAAGATGTTATTTGGTAGCACTGTATTGTTCTTGAGAATATATTAGAAGCAAAATGTAACTTTTGTCCATAAACCATGTTGGGTGGTACATTTAGACTTTAGAACACCATCAATGCTTTTGAAGCATACAATGCAAATCAGGGTCAGGGTTCAGAAGTGAATCCAACTATTCACGATTTGACAACTATAGAGAAAAGTATAATAGCACACACTTGAAAAAATATGATAGCATATTAGCATTTCATATGTATACAAATTACTCAAGAAGGCATAGAATATGGATACCAGAACTCAGTTTCTGATTGCTAGAAGAAACATGAAATAATTGGTAGGGTAACTGTCTGTGCTGTATCCTGTCAAAATTTGGAGGTATAGCACTTTGAAGCATCTTTGTAAATATTCCAAGCCTTCTTTGTACATCCATGAAAGGTTGATGGGTCTTGTCATCTATCAAACTAAGAAGTGTGTGTGACACCTGAAAAGTAGGAGCATTCAGAATTTCAATGGTGAAAGCAATATGGAATTATGGATTCACTTGAGAGTTGAGAAGCATCACTCACTTGCACGACAAGCTGATTACACCACATTATAACTTGGTGCTCCATTGACAACCAGACATTCTTCATGCATGTACTACTAATCATAAACCCATGGGTGGAAGGGACAATGCCATCAAGGGACTCTAATTTTGCCCGCACCTAAAATTAAGGAATCACAGAAGCATAAAGCAACAATTATGGTGAAGCAACATGATTACACACAATTGAATAAATGATAGACGTAATAGGGAGTGAGTTAGTCATTCAACAAAGAAAAGTTTACAGAACTACATGGAGTCTCAGATTATATCATGGAATCAAGCAACTATGCAAGAGAAGAAACTAATAATTTAATCCCCTTATCATGTTTAATGACCAACCCAACAACTAACTCGCCTAAAAACGTGGAATCACCATTTTCAGTCTTGACCTGGAATGTTGTGTGTCCACCTAATTTAGAACTTATTATTATATAAAAAATGTAAAGAAAACATTCAACTTTGTTAAAAGGCTATAGAGGATATCATGAATACGGAAAAAAACATAACCACCCTCGCATACATTTTCTAGAATAGCCTAGGTTTTCAATTTTTACATTTCATTGCTTAAAACGACATCATTGATAGATATGACATATGCTTCATACAAAATTGTTTTTCTCTGGTATTTAATTGAATGCAAGACCTGGAGATGTGTACCTGGTAATCATGATAACCACCAGAAATAGAGATGACAACCACATGAGACAGCAATGGATCAGATAGATAACGCCCAGATCTATAAGTTTGGACTTCATACCCTTTCCTCCATTCATGATTAACATGCGCATAGTACTGACCAAGGGATGGTTGCAATGCTAGAGGAGGTGACCTAGACAAGGAAACCAGAGTGTCAGTTTACATTACATGTTTGGTCTGCAATCAAGATAAAATTTTCAAAAAGCTGCATTTTACTGGTGTGGGGTAGAGAGTGTCACGACTGTTTCAACTGCATATTTTCTCAAATGTGGATGTACAGTTGCAGCTCTAGCAACAAAACCACCCATGGAATGACCAACTAAAATAACGCTTCTTGGAAAATTCATAGATACATTGGCCCCTTCTTTAACTCGAGCATCATGAGACTCTTTATAATGATCCAAAATCTAACACACAATACAACAGCTAAAATTATTAAAACAGAATTACAGGAGCCAGGAAAGCAGTTAAATAACAAATCAAATTGAACACATGCACAAAAATACATAAATAGTTTAGGAGGTGAGAGAATGTGATAAATATTACATAATGATGGCTCACATGCTTTTGGGGCAGGGAAGAAGTGGTTAGAATGACATGTCATGTACTTCTGTTATTAATGGTGGATGGTGGAGAGCAAAAATCCCAGCATATATTACTGTCATAGATAATGATTCTTCACAAATCCCTTCTTACACCAAGGGTTGCTGATAACTTATCCTTTTACTAATAATTCAAGACTTCCCCTTTGCAAATACAGTAAATGTTAACGGAATGTAAATGCCAAGGGTGGAGTGAAAAATAAATAAATATTAGAGCACTGGTAAGTGAATTCAAAACCTAATATGAGTCGCAGCAGACACTTGGATAAAGAGACTAAAGACAGAACAGAAGAGTGTCCGTGCATCCTTTATTTTTGGTTGAGGAGTAATACACTTTATAGTCCATTAACATGCAACCCAAGGATCATCATATGAAAAAAAAAACAATACCCTGTTAATAGAATATACTACATATTCTGTGTTCTCTTCAAGTATCCGTCCATCCAGTGCCGAGTGTTCACCTTCAAGGTCCACAGCAAACCAGTCGAGCATGCATGCATACTTGATGGGCAACGGAATGCTCCTAGCATCAAATTGAACACCACCGCCCGGGGTTTTAAAGGCTTCTTGGTAAAATGACTGCTCAAAAGGACCTCCATTATAAGCCCTGTCAGATTCTGCAGCTATGGATCTCACCTGTAGCAAAGATTTGGGAGCAAACAGGGAGTCAATAATTAAGAACTAGTGTCGCCATTCAGTGTTTCCTGTTAAGCTAATCTAATAATTCAAACTTATTTTAAGTTAACAAGACAAGACATCCATTAAGAATTTCAAGATTATATGCATAAACACTCACCTTTCAACAGAATGCGAATGTGGTATAGCAATCAATTTTACAGAAGACTTATGCAGGCATATCAGAAATCGAGTAACAATGCTATAGGAAATAGTGCAGGTGGAAATTGTAAGCAGATAAGAAGGGTGTGGGAGAATTACCTGTTTGTAGCTTCCGCCATTGCCTGGGATAAAAAGAACAGGAACCCCAGTAAGATGCTTAAGGTGCTCCTCAAAATCAATCTTTTTCCACCCTTCATGGTACAGATACAATCCATACTTGGTAGACGATACATTCTCCGGCGAGGGAATAGGGATATAAGTAGGATACATGTAAGTCATGATGCACCCATTGGATATCGGCTTTGTCAGGCTGTACAATGCCGCAACACATATCCACAACACAAAAATGACCAAAGCGGCTACTTTCAGATTCGCTCTTAAGCCTGAAAGTCTTAGACTTGCCGCCATATTTCAACGAACCAAACTATTTCATTCCTAGGAGAAGATCAAAGCTAAATCCTCGGTGACTTCTTCCGTCCTACCCAGGGAATACGGCATAGAATAAATTTAAAATGCTGGAACTATTTATGGATCTAATCTAAAAACTACCTGAGCGGAGATCTAGCGAATAGGAAAGAGTTGGATAGAAGAAGAATGGTAGAAAAATGTTCATTTCCCAGTTTCAGAAGAAAAAAACAATAAATGAAGGCGGGTGGAGAAAAATCTGGTGCTTTGTAAGGATCTAACATAAGAGAGAATAACGGGATGTAGTGATCACTGATGGAGCATAAGATCAGCAGATAGTTTTCTTTTCTTTTTTGTTGCGAAGAAAGAAAGAAAACTACAAAAGGAGTACACTATTTTTTGGGTAAGATGCAAAAATAAAAAATATTGTAAAGGAAACTCTTTTTTGGACCAAGTGGCTTAAGAATGAAGCAAAAATGAGGAATCATAACTCAGTTTGAATCTGCAAATTCACTTTTGGAGTAATTACTCAGTATACTCATCCAAAAAAGTAGTATAAAAAATAAAAGGAAATTGCAAATATCGTCTTTGTTTTAATTTAATCTTTGTTGTCATTATTAACAATCTTTTGTTTTTATGTCTAGCTTTATTGTATTTGAATTTGATTTTTACACTAAGGATGTTTTTACTTGGACTGTAATTTGCCCCAGACCAGACCAGACCAGACCAGTTCAGACCAGACCAGACTTGGATAGTTATAAAAATACAAAGAAACCAGACCTTACCAGACCAGACCAGACCAGACCAGACCAGATCAGACTAGACCAGACCAGAACAGCAAATTACAGTGCAAGTAAAAACATCCTAATTTTTCTGGTAACTTTTTAATGGTCAGTTTTAATTATAAATACAAATATAATATCGTTGTGATGAATAAGATTTATTGATGGACAGTCTTCCCATAATATTTGTTTGTCAAATACTGTAAAATAAATAGCAAATACTAGGTATTACATAGAGAATAAAAAAGAGATTGAGGGGGTAATATTCTACTACGGATTTTACGAATCGAATTGTAAGTCATGGTAAATAATCTCGAAAGCAGAAAAAGTAAAATTGATTATATTTAAAAAGTAGGGGAAAGGGGGAGAATATACTCCATGTGTACCGTTTGTCTTGGTTTGTGGGGCTGGTTTCCATGGCTTTGACAATTATTTTTTGGTTAAAAAATGTTTGGTGTACACATTTTATGCGTATACCTTTGACACAGTTGTTTGTCTTCACAAATACAATTGTCATTGTAAGTGTGTCAAATGTGTAAATAAAAATGTGTACACTAAACACGACTCTTTTTGTTGTTTCGGGCTTTAACATCTTAGGTAAAATAATGGATTTTACAAATTATGTGTTTTCAATAGAGATCAAATTTTAACGCAGTGGCAATCCCAAATTCGTCCTTGATAAATTGCAAGATACGGAGTAGCAAATATACAAAAGCTCTTGTATAAAATATTATACTCTCTCTGTCCCATATTTATCTTCACAAGTACATTAGCACACAAATTAAGATAGTGAAAAATGTGTGGTGAAAACTGAAAAGTTGGACAGAGGAGAGAAAAATGTATAAAAATGTGTAAGAATAGTTATGAACTACAAATTCTTTGCCAAAAAGTGAAAGTAAGATAAATTTGGAACGGACGAAAAGAGAAAGTATGAAGATAATTCTGGGACGGAAGGGAGTATACGTAGTACATGATTAAAAAGAAATTTATAAAATGCTCCAGATGATAAAAACATTTTACACAAAAAAAGTAAAAAACTACGAAGTATGACGGAGTATCATTCAATCCATATAGTAGTAGTCATCAACATCATGTGATATTACCGAGTGGCGAGTACTGACTGTGTACATCAACATAATGTACTACCTACAGTATCGACCAAATGACTAATCAATTGTTTAACAAAAGTTTGAACAAATTTCTGTAAAAGAAATAACAAGAAAGAAGACATGCTCTTAGGAACTAGATTCTACAGAAGGCCGAAGCAGCCACCATTTCTTAAACTTCTCATATATAGAATTGTATAAAAAAATGGTACAAATAAGGATATATGATAAGTGCAGAATAGAGGAGTACACAGAATAATGATAACAAAGACTAAAAATTCAAAATCATCTAGGGAGGAATAAGGGGTCCTGCAAAATGAAGCCACCCTATAATTCCTAGTCAAACCGAGAGAATGCCAGGTTTTTAATATCATCCAAATTGACTCAAGTTATAAAATATGGAGACACTTCTTTAACCCCAATTCCCATATGTACAGCCCCCAATCAATGCAGCGTCGCCCGTGAAACTGGAGAAATTCCAATGCATTTATGAGTGTAGAGGTCCATCTTTCTCACTCCCTCAGTGTTTGTTATGATGATTCAACTCCTCAGTCAGTGATACAAACAAACAAGATGTGGGTCCTGGCCAGAGTTTAACCAGATGTAGCGCCACGACTGGCCGCCGCTGCCGCTCTTGGAGAGACAAGTACCGCTTCATTGCTTGCTGCTTTAATGCCGCCAAGATCTTCAAGCCGCTTCCAGGTTGCTTCCCGTTTCACCATGACTTCTTGTTCACGGGATTCATCTTCCTGGAATTTTTGCGAGCATTCCTCGAAAAGCTCAGGGTCTATGTCCGAGAAGAGTTTGCGGACATTAAGGGTCAAACTCTGGACTGCTTGGTTCCAGTGGGTTCTGGAATTTCTCTCCAGGGCAGGGAAGATTATTGGCAGTACAACTTTTCGGTTCTGTTTTATTAGGCCCTCAATGTGATCATTGTTCCATAGAAACAAGGCTCTCTCGGCCACCTGTACAAAAAAAACATTTTGAAGAATGTGGAGAGGGTTCAGGGATAGGGAACATGGAGTATAAACTCATTCCAACCAATCTTAAAAATTTGCGCAAAATATGGTTTTAGTCATTGTAAATATAGTCCTTGTTGTTTCAAGTCCCTGCAGAATAGTTTGTTTGTTTTTCATCTATGCAATTTATGCTATTTTGTTTTTAGTCCCTCCTTAACCCTATAACAATAAACAGTGTCTATAAAAACGGGTAGCCCGATGCACATTGGGTCCCTGCAAGATGAGTGTCCAGTGAAGGGTCCCACGACAAGAGAGTATATGGAGCAAGCCTCCCCTTTTCATTTTGACAAGAGGCCTCTGCCAAGACTTTAACCCTATAACAATCTCTGTTTAACAAAAAATTGACATGCCTACTTGACTAGCATGATTTCAAACTTACTTTTCAAATCATTTCGCTTTTAAGAAAACATCAATAATTAGTTGCATTTCGGCTTATCCCAACTAATAGTCTGCGAAAGGTTATAAAAATCGACATTGTAAGATTAGAATCATAATGCAAGCCGCATTAATTTTTTCCTTAACTGAGATTGCTCGAATGTTATACAAGAACTGAAGAGAGAATAGCATAAAACACATTCTATATTTGTAGGGACTAAAAATATATTTGTGCCTTCTTCTAAGTGGTTCCTCCAAGAGAGCACATAACAGATGATAATAAATGGGATTTTCCATTTTCTCATTTCTTACATGACAAATGTTAATGGACGCCAACTCACTAACACAACCAGAGAGATAAGTTTTAGTAAGAAATACTTTTTGACTTATCCACAAGTCGTGTATGCTGTCCTAGAATGTGCAGGGCAATTAGTAAGAGGACATAGAAGCCCAACCAACTACAAGGTAATAAACCAGAGGATTTTATGTTTGATCCCATTTCTTAGTGAAATTTAAAATAAAATAAAAACTACTGAAAAGGCATGCAGTGAAGAGTGGTAACTGGTAAGCAATGGTTTTGAAAAATAAAAAATGAAAGATATGGAATACATATTTTGTTTAGAAGCACAGTTTCCATCTGTTCATGATCTACAAAGAAAGGATCCATCAAAAGGTGGTACTCTTGTGGAGTTGTGGTAGATAGATGTCACACTAGACATAAGGTTATGTTAAGTTGAAAAAGATGGGCTAATTGTAGAACTAATGATTGATGGAAGTAGATAAGTATGGCCATATTTTGTGTGTGCAAAAAGTCATATGCAGTTGGAAGGTAGATTTCATCAACCACCTGACCAACTGACATTTCTGGCAGTAACTACACAAAGGTAGAGAAAACAAAATGGCCATAGGAAATATAGGATGATATAAAATGGTCAGTAGTTAAGAAATTGAGATGAGAGTGCACGGTGTAAAATTTGAAGAAAAAAACATACACCAAAATGTAGACTCATGCAAATAAATAAACTCAAAGTAAAATGTTTTTGACAAAAACTCAAAATAAGTATTTGATGTGGGGTGATAGATAAACTGTTAAAAAGTGAGATAACAAGAATACAAGATAGTAATCCTAGGAATGAACAGGGCCATCCCTTAGCGATTTTGAGGTCCTGGACAGTAGCATTAGTCATGTTACAGATACATTCATCTTGGACTTGTCTAGAATGCTTGTTTGGTGAACAACAGGGATATTATATAATTTACAGTCACATAATGAATATGTGTGTGCACATATATAGTATAGGTTTGAAATAAGAACGCTAGGTTCATTTTGCTCATTCATTCCAAAACTAGAAATAAATTGTCAAAATCAGTTCTAGCTCAGTGCTTGTTCATATTGATTCTTTTCAACGAGTACAACTAAATATTAATGTGATCCATTGTAGTTTAAAGATTACAATATTGTAACTCAAAATTTAATTGTGATTCGATATTAATGAACTACGAGTGAAATTTAACAACACTTTTTTTATTTTTTGAACATCAAAAGACATCACAATGTGTCTAGTTTAATACTCATAGATCCCAATGACAACTTTTAACAACACACCTTCATGTATTAACTTTAGTGAGTGTTGATATTAATAATTAATATCTCTAATGTGCTATATATTTTAGACCATTGTTAAAGCCACACCCTAGGCAATTGCCTAAGGCCCTAGACCAATAGAGGGATGAGAATGAATATGTCTCAAAAAAAAAAAAAAATCAAACAAAATAAACCAAATGAACAAATAGAACCATTGACTTGGGAGATATCAGCTTAGACTCAAATGACAAATGCAATCTCTGTTTTACAAAAAACTTACAAAATACAACTTTTAAAGAGAATAGAAAGCATGGATTCATTAACCTGAAAATGTGAGCTGCTCAAGCACCGGCCAATTTGGCGGAACAAAGGAACCATACAGCGTTGGAACTCTGGAGGTTGTGTAGCTTCTAAGACCTCCTCCAGCTCACCCAAGAACATAACCTCCTTAGAGCTGTTTGTGACAGGCCAATACTTCAATAAACCCCTAATAACAGTGTCAGCAAGCTTGCAATCCTTTTCCACAAACTGTGTGATGCAGTAAGACAGTTGTTGGTGGTACATTTGGATGC